CCCTCGGCTCCTCCGGATCCTCTTCGGCTTCCTTCCCTCCCTCTTCTCTCTTCGCTCCTCTTCCTTCCGTTTCTTTCTTTTTCTTTCTTCCCTTCCTTCTTCCCTTCCTTCTTCCCTTCCCTTCTTCCCTTCCCTTCCCTTCCCTTCCATTCCCTTCTCTTCCCTTCCCTTCCCTTCCTTCTTTCTTTCTTTCCAACCTCCTCAGACCCTGTTTTCTAGTGATAGCAAACCTTGCATATGTTCGGTGGAGGGATGATTCCTTGCGTACAACTTGTCTCGGGAGGGGCTGCCAATCACTGTCATGGGCACACAACACATGCAAGACCAATCAGAGTCCTTTCTAGGAACTATGTTATCCCAGGGTGGGGAGGGAGTCTTCGCTCTCCTTTGTGGCCACTCTCTGGGCTGGTGGAGTAATGAAAGCCTGGAGCTGCATGAAGGAATCTTGTCCTCAGTTGGAGGGAAGGAAGCCATATACAGACACAAGCAGAAGCAAGACACAGGGAGAGAGAGAGAGAGAGAGAGAGAGAGAGAGAGAGAGAGCGCACAAAGGGACAATGGCACTTGAGTCTCTTGTGTCCTCTGTCCTTCAATTTAGTTTCATGAGCCAACACATGCCTTTTCTTTTTTTTCTTACGAATCTGACTTGTTTTCCTTATTGACTAATATGCAGCTGTACTGGATTGCCGGCAGTTCCCTGAATTCCACACTGTCTCCTGCTTGCACTCCCTACAGGTTCAAGCAACACAGCGCACGGCGCAAGCCCGATAAAATCCAGAGGGTGCAAGAATCTGGGGTGGCTCCTGTCACTTTTCTTTAGGCACCAACACGTGGCCACATCCACGTTGGCCGAGAGGACTGCCCTGGACCTTCTCCCTCATGCTCTGTCTCCCCCACCCCCATCTCTCCTCAGTCCTTTGTGCCCTTCAAAGTCGGCCTCCTCCTGGGCCTGGCCCTGATAGGGGTTGATAGGGGACAGTGCCTTTGTCCTTCTGATTCTGCTCTCGCCAGGAGACCTTGGCTGCTTCAGGCTTCAGACCTTGAGAGCCCATAATAAGGATTCAGCAAGGACCCAAAGACCATTCGTACTGCGAAGATGAACTCCTGGCATATCTCTCCTCCCTTATTATGTCTGAGAGCACTCCTCTATTTCCCGGCCTTGAGGTCCATTCAGGAGCGGGGTGAGGGCTTAGAGACCTTTCAGCCATTGTGTTTCAATCTTGTGACAAGATGTGGGTGTTACACACACCAGGTGATCAGAGGAGGAAGTGTGACTAAAAGCAGGCAGGTTCAGGGGAAAGGGTGAGGTCACAGATGGAGCAGAGTCTGCACCGGCTATTAACAAGAGAGCCAGGCTAGACCTAGGGCAGTGGTTGGCAAACTCATTAGTCAACAGAACCAAATATCAACAGTACAACGATTGAAATTTCTTTTGAGAGCCAATTTTTTTTTATTTTTTTTTTATTATTTTTTTGTTTTGTTTTGTTTTGTTTTTTTTGATATATTTTTTTTTATTTTTTTTTTAAATTAAATCTTTATTTGTCAGATTATTACAGTTGTTCCTCTTTTTTTCCCCCCATAGCTCCCCTCCACCCGGTTCTCCTCCCACCCTCCGCCCTCACCCGCATTTATAGGTGCACAACTTTTGTCCAGTTTCTTCCCGCATCCTCCACACCCCTTTCCCCCCCAAGAATAGTCAGTACACTCCCTTTCTATGCCCCTGATTCTATTATAATCACCAGTTTATTCTCTTCATCAGATTATTTATACATCAGGGACGTGCCTGCAACCGAGGTACATGCCCCTGAGCGGAACCGAACCTGGGACCCTTCAGTCCACAGGCCGACGCTCTATCCACTGAACCAAATCGGTTAGGGCGAGAGCCAAATTTTTTAAACTATATAGGTAGGTACATTGTTATTAACTTAATTAGGGTACTCCTAAGGCTTAGGAAGAGCCACACTCAAGGGGCCAAAGAGCCACCTGTGGCACGTGAGCCGCAGTTTGCCGACCACGGACCTAAAGTGGTTAGGGCTTTCCCAAGACGGGGCAGGGCATGAACAGCCCAGCAGAGGGGCCTAGGCGGCTTGGGAAGTGACAGGAAAGCAGTGTTCAGTGAAGGTCTTGAATGCCAGGCCCAGGATTTTAACGGTCATTCTCGGAGTCTGAGCGGGGCTGGGGTTGATACAGGGTCCCTTCTGGGAGGGCCATGGGTTATACCCTCTCTGGTGCACAAAAGGACTGAGAAGTCAGGACATGAATATCAACACCACTTCCTGAGGTTAAAAAAAGGGGTCCCTCCTACTCGTGGCTCTCCCAGACGCCCATCCCACCTTGCCCCTCTGTGACCCAGGGCCATGTGGGCTCTGACCAAAATGGATGGCTTCACTTCATGGCCTCGGAGCCGCACACTCCCCTTCCTCCTGTCCATACAGGCACCCCAACCCCCATCACTGCCTGATCCTCAACAGTCCACCTCTTGGGCTTTCCAACCTATATCTGTCTTCATTCCGTGACTCATTAGAGAGATTCGCATCACTCCTCTATTTAGGAAGCCCCTAAGTGGAGGATCTGGATATTTTTGGGGTCATTTTCCTTCCTACCTCAAGGACTATTCGTGTAGATTCACTTGGCTGAGTTTCTGAGCCAGCCGAACTGAATGGGAGGAAATATCCCGGCATGCCCTTTGCCTGGTGATGCTGTTTCTCCTGCAGGGTCAAGCCCAGAGGCAGGGAGTCACAGACTGGGAGCTGGGAAGGAGCGGATGGGCAGCTTTGCACGGTGGTTCCTTGAAAAGATCCTGGCACTGGAATGAGACAGATCCTGAGTCTGAAACCAGCCCCATCACTCAGCAGCTGTGTGACCTCCTGACCCTCAACCTTTTCTTTTATAAAATGGAGATAGAAACGCCCACCTTACAGAGTTATGAGGAAAGCTAAACAGCGCTTATAGTCTGTTGTATAATAACTGGGAGCTGATATTATGCTTATTTGATCCCAACCTTCTTGAGAGAGAAAAGCAGACTTGTCCAAAGTCGCGTGTTGAGACAGTCACAGTTCATCCTGTTTCCCACACTGGGGTTCCTCTGCCCACCCCCACGCTGCCCCCCTCCAAGCGGGAGAGAACAGGCAGGAGCAGATGAGCATGATGGGAAAATCTTCCTGTTTTCTGATCCCCCCAAGGACTACACAAGTGGTGGCAACAGGCTCCGTAAACCCACCGGGAGCCCCTTCCACATCAGTGGTGGAGAATAAAGGAACTAGAGGGGAAAAAACCAAACAAAAGAAAGCGCCTGGAAAAGATGTTTTTATGTTCACTTACATGGAAAAAAATCAAAGTATACAGCATGAAATATAGGTATCTCAGAAAGGTCATCCTCATGAACCCATTTGTTCAATCGCAGTTATAATTCAAGAGTTGCCAAATGAGAAATCATAAAATAAGGGTGGGGGTGGGGGGCAGGGCCACCAAAGGGAAAGGTAGGAATTACGTGTTATTTCTCTTCTAGTTTCAGATAACTGGGAGTTTACACTTTTCCAGCAAGTCAGAGTGATATAAACAGATGCCATACTAAAATATGATGGTAGCAAAAATATAAAACTCCTAAAGCATGACGACAATATTTCAGAGAATAAAAACATGAAAATCTGATAATACCAGAAACTACGGATAGGATCATTTGAGCAGTTCGGTATCTCTGTATGAACAGCAGTTGCAAATGATGGGTGTAAAATAAAGAATAAAGCATTGGGTCTGCACATAACTTAAAGAGGGGTAATATTTCTAAACACCGACTTTGTAAGAAAACATGAAGGACATCTTACACTCAACAACAATGGCTGAAAGGAGGGAATTACTTTCTGAAGGGTGCAGCCGGGAGTGTGCCAAGTTTTTTGTCTACAACGTGCCCTCGGCCGCGTTGGGATGTGTTTGCACTGCCTGGGGTTTCCTGCAGCGTCTAGCACCAATATACCCATCAGATGTTTATCTTTGATCTGAGTTGTTGATGTCTTCAGTTTTGAGTGTATTGAGGTATGTTTTCTTTGGTTGCTGTTGTGATGAACGTGTAATAATAAAAAAAAAAAACCTCACCAATATTTACAACATTTAAACATTTTAGATTTCAGTGTCAACTCTTCACATAAGAAAAATTGGGGAACACGTAAGGTCATGGGAAGGTCACTACTTCCTAGCGTCGGTCATGAAACTGTTTTCGATACAGAGAACAATTAGCCTACTCGCGCAGCTATATGCTTTCTGGTCCAGAATCTTCCCCGTGCTCAGCGGGGAGGCCAAGCCCGTGACTGCTGTGCTGGCGCTTCGCCATGCTTCACAGTAGTTATCCTCAAGACGCACTCCATGGGGGTTGGAGCCATGCCAAACGACCTTCTCGGGCCTGAAAAGTAATTTTGTCGTGTTATTTTTTTCTTCTTCACGGCATATTTCAGTGAACAAATTGGCCTAAGTTTAGCAAATTAAGTCCAACCCCCTGGGCCCTCCATGGTTTGACCCCGCATCACCTCTCCATCCTCAATCCTCTTTCTAATTACTAGTAGCTGAACACACCACGTTCCAGCCACACCCAGCTCATACATGTTCTCAAATCAGGCTCTGTGCTCTGTGAATCTGAACCTTCCCTCATGAGGTCCCTTTGTCTAAACCAGCCTCTCTTCCATCCTCAGACCAGGGTTTCTTTCTCATCTTTCAAAGTCCATGAAATGCGTACTCGTACAGAAGCCTTCTTGATTCTCACCCCCAAGTAACGGTGAGTACTTTCCCTGTCCTCCTATCATCTTATCTGCGTCTCCATTTTATCATTGCAATGTTCTGGCTGGAATCACAGCTAGTCTGTGTCTGTCTTCCCCTGCAGGCTGTGAGCCCTGGAAGGGTAGGGGCCGTGTAGATACTGTGCCTTCCAGGCCTGGCATCAGGTGTGGCATAGAGTAGATGCTGAGGAAAGATTTGCTAAGTTGTTCTATTCTTTCTTTTAAATATATTTTATTGATTTTTTACAGAGAGGAAGAGAGAGAGATAGTTAGAAACATCGATGAGAGAGAAACATCGATCAGCTGCTTCCTGCACCCCTCCTACTGGGGATGTGCCCGCAACCAAGGTACATGCCCTTGACTGGAATCGAACCTGGGACCTTTCAGTCTACAGGCCGACGCTCTATCCACTGAGCCAAACCAGTTAGGGCTGTCCTATTCTTTATAGCATACATAGTTTTCAAAGGATTTGAGTGGACTCTCTTAGCTACCTCCCTGAGGCTTTATGCTGGCAACACCCCAGAGGGGCAGCTGACAAAAGCATCCCATGATTAGAATGTCTCCTAAAACTGTCTATCATACCATATACTTTGAGGCTTCCACCCCTACTTACCAAGAAGGATCTGTCATCACGTCTCGGCCATCAAAGGAGTATATTGGAACACGTGTACTAAACTGACCTCCATGGCCAGAAAAAATTGAGTCCCAATTATTGAAAAGTACTTGGCCCTATGGAGACAAAAATGTCACATTGGAATCATTATACATCAGCCTGCAAATGGACTAGCTATTTACTCATTGTTGTTTTATTTTTTTAATTTAAAGATTTTTTAAATTGATTTTTTAGAGGGGGGAGATAGGGAGGGATGGAGGGAGGAAGTGAAAGAGAGAGAGAGAGAGAGAGACATCAATAGGCTGCCTCTTGCACAGCCCCTACCAGGTATCAAGCCCACAACCCGGGCATATTCCCTGACTAGAAATCAAACTAGCAACCTTTCAGTGCAGGGGATAACACCCAACCAACTGAGCCACACCGGCCGGGACTATTTGCTCATTCTTTAAGGCCAGATGTCACCTCACGCTGAAGTCAACCTCAATCATAGAGACAGAGTGTGTGCTCAGGATTCCAAGCATACAAATAATTTGGTCACAAATGGAAGTACTAGGGTCCCAAGGACCAGAGGGTCTCAAAGTACCTTTGAGATCTAGTGGGAGGTCAGGACCCAGGATGTGTGTGAGCAGGAACAGAGCTGTACCTCTGCAGCTTTAAAGGAGTCGGCTACTTCCATGGTATAATTATACCACTGAAGGATCCTATGAGGCCCTGCCTTGCCTCCAAATGGGGGCAGAGAAATATCTTCCAGGCTTTGGCAGCTTAGATGCGCCGAAGACACCAAACCTGGTGCAGGACAAGGTATTTGCTCTGCAACCAGTGATTACCAGCTATTCTCTGATACCACTCAGCCAGTGCCCTACAGAAGACATCTCAGGTGGAACCAAGAGCCCCAGATGTGGGGGTCAAGGTAACTAATTCTAAATTGTAGTGACTTTGAGCAAAGGTCTTTCTCCTGAGCCTCAGTTTCCTCACCAGACAAAAGAATAACTTCCATTTTTATTGGCAGTACCTATTAAGATAATGAATGTAAAGTACTTTGTAAATATTAGAAAACTATGCAAGTGAAAGAGGTCATCATTCCTCCCTCCTGTCTGCTCCATGAGTTATACCATCCAGGCAGGAAGGCTACTGTAAATATTAGAAAACTAAGATGCAAAGTCACACAGCCAATCAGGGACAGGCTGGGCCTGGAACCAGCACACTTGGGATGATGTCAGAAAGTGGCAACTGCCTCCAGTCCCTGTGGAGACCAGTGCACCCAGGAAGCAACAGGGACAGTATTTATTTTTACCTTGAGGTTTACTATTGGGAGGCTGTATCTCTCCTCTTTCCTCACAATTGTG